CTCTCTATCTCTCTCTCTGAGAGAGAGAGAGAGAGAGAGAGAGAGAAAGAGAGAGAGAGACAGAGAGAGAGAGAGAGACAGAGAGAGAGAGAGAGAGAGAGAGAGAGAGAGAGAGAGAGAGAGACAGAGAGAGAGAGAGAGACAGAGAGAGAGAGAGAGAGAGACAGAGAGAGAGAGAGAGAGAGAGAGAGAGACAGAGAGAGAGAGAGACAGAGAGAGAGAGAGAGACAGAGAGAGAGAGAGACAGAGAGAGAGAGAGAGACAGAGAGAGACAGAGAGAGAGAGAGAGAGAGAGAGAGAGAGAGAGAGAGACAGAGAGAGAGACAGACAGAGACAGAGAGAGAGACAGAGAGAGAGAGAGAGAGAGAGAGAGAGAGAGAGAGCGGTGGGTAACCTGGAAGGCAGAGATGCAGCCACAGGAGAAACTTTATTAGAACGAGTGAACGCCTTGTAATCCCAGTGTCACCGCTCTGAACTGCTGTGTAAGGCTGGTTTAACTGCCCCTAAATGCTACCTGTAATAAACCTAACAGCTCCAGGGTCTTTGAATGCTTCGTCTAAGTTTCTTCAAAGTCATGTGAGAACAGATGAGGGGATCACGTTGAAACGAACTGTCTTAGTCAAATAGCTGCACAGTTTATTGATTTTTATCCATGTGTGCAACTGTGCAGGCGACAGTAGTTGTTTTTAATCATCACCCGCCACTAAAGGTGGAGCGATGGTGTACTTTGGCTCGTACGTGTTCATTTGATTGTACCATTAATGAAACATCTAATGCAGGGGTGTCAAACTCCTGTCCTCGAGGGCCGCTATCCTGCATGTTTTAGAGGTTTTCTTGCTCCAACACACCAGATTTTGATTGCTGGGTAATTAACAGGCTTCTGCCCAATTTGAAGAGTTAATTCAATCACTGAATCAGGTGTGTTGGAGCTGGAAAACCTCTAAAACATGCAGGATAGCGGCCCTTGAGGACTGGAGTTTGATACCCCTGATCTAATGCATGTGTCTTTGTCCCTTCCATCAGACCTGCCAAAGAAAAATAAAATTTTTCTGCTTAACTAAATATAAAGATTATTTTAATTAGATATTAGATTTGAAGGTAAATTTTAAATTTATTATTCAATGCAACAAATTAAACCAATTTTAAAGGTGAACAGTTACATAATTATCTCATCAGGTTCTTGCGCTGTTGGTTTTTAATAACTGTGAGCAATTTATTTAAATAACCCTGTATTAATGTTTTAAAATAAGCTATTTTAACCTCTTAAGAGACCCAAACTCTTGCATTGCATGCATTTTTGTCCACATATGTGGCGCCAGGTCCTAACGTTGATTATAAACTACATCTCACATAATAAATGTCAATTATTTAACCCGCAAATTGGCAGCGTCCTCCTAGGTGGAGGTGCACAGGATTCAAAAGTAGCTGGCAGTCGGCAAAATTCACCATGTAAAATCTACATAGATTAAATTTCGCCGGCTACTTTTGCAGCAGTTGTACTAGGAAATGGGAATTTCCCACTTACAAGTCGTAAATTTAAACTGGAACACTCCTAATGGGAATTCTCTGTCGAAAATTGGGAGAGTTCAGAATTCAAGATGGGCAGTTACTTATCACAGCTCAACAGTGAGTAAAACTCAATTATTTTTACTTTTAATAGTATTTCTGTATTGTTTATTTCACATTTAGTCAGTTGCACATGTAGTACTTTTTAGTGTTTTTATGAGGACGTGTTAAAATGCTGTTTCTATGCATGAAACACCAGGTAGAGCTCAGTTATTGTTTGTTAACGGTGCTCAAATTTAGCAATGAGATGAGAAAATGACGTTAAAGTTAAACACAGAACATTAAAGTTAATTACAACCATAACGCTCATGTGGCGATCTGTGAAAAAGCGTTTAACGCCCCTGGACTCATCTAATAAATCAGGCAAGACATTTTAATGAAAATCTCAAAAAGTCACTGGGTTTTCAATGAGAACTAAACAACTTTTGGAGTCAACCCAATTCAAGATGGCCGCTACAAGCAAAGCAATCTTAGCAAGCACAAAAATGGCTATAACTCTATCAGTTTTACAGATATACAGCTAAAATTTGGTGTGGTAGTAGCTGAGACTGATCCCTAACTCATACTCTGAGCGGGATACCTTGAAACGTCAGATGGCATTTTGAAGTTTTGACCAAAATTGCTATAACGCCACTACTTCTCTGAATCAAATTATCTTAGTGCAAAACTCTAGCATCAAAAATGGCGGGTGATGTGCAATCCTTCTAGCAATGCTTTTAATTATCTATGTATGTGTGAGCATTCAGGAGCAGAAACACAGATGCACACACGTCACATTAGCAGAAATGAAACGAACATTAGCCGATAGCCTGACATCTCTCATGAACAAATTTGCCTGACACATGCCAAGCCAAACTGTTCAAACACAATATAAAAATCTCATATCTGGTCTTGTCTGCACAGGTCACGCCCTGGGTGTAGGACGCCGCCATGTCCCAACTGGTTCTGTTGTCTTTACACCCACTCTCTCCTCAAAAAAGAAAAAAAATGTGAGTGTGAACATTTTTTTAAAGCTTTGTAATTTGATTCTCCTCCTACTCACTGAAATATACACGCTGTTTGCTTTGATGGAATAGGTAATGGTTTGAGGTCGCAGCCAAACTAAATAATTTAAGTAATTCTACAGTTGATGATAGACACGCCCAAGACAAAAAAACAAAAACAAACAGGAAAACAAGGATGACTTCATTCCAGAGCGCTGAGAAAAATTGAAGGTCTAAATAACAACATGAGGAAACACAAGGTGCGATCGCTGATAAATAACAAGGCGAAGACAGAAATGCAGCGTGAACGCTAAAGGCTGAATGACTTGGCAGATTTGATGACGTAGCTGAAGCTCAGTTGTTCAAAGTTAGGCGAGTAAAATGCAAGCTAATGTAGCAAAACATTAGCTTTTTCACAAAGGATGCAGAAGTATACACAAAAAGTAAGGATATTTGTGTTTGGTAGATTATTTCTTTGCTTCTTGGCAATAAATCTTAATCCGGTGGATAGTTCCCTTTTAAATGGCGCCACATTTGTAAGGAGTATGCATTTGTCGAATGAGCAGTAGAGCTGAGTTTGTCTGTTGCGCACATGAAAAAATCTGACAAATTTTATCTGTGAAACTGCTGTTTGGAGCTTCGGTTGATTAAATAAATAATCTACCAAACACAAATTTCAGTCATTTTTGAGCTAAGTTTGTGCTAAGCTAAATGTAGCTAAATGCAAAATTGGGTACCTTTTTCTTTTACTTAACRTAAAAATATGCTGAGTGCATTTTTTGGGTACACTACCAAACGGGTTAAATGCTTGCTAAAAGCAACAAATGGCTAACAAAACATTTTACATAGCTAGCCAAAAGCTAAAGTAGCCAAAAGATGGCTGAACAATAGCAAATGGTTAGCTGATAGATTAAAGTGCCTGTGACATGCATATTCTTCAAATACAAAAAGTCAAAGAAATCAAAGAAAACATCTTTATGGTTAAGAAAGTTGAAACAAAACACACGATTTGACCCATTTTGTCCTTTAACTGGCATATTTTCGTTTGAACTTGACTCAGCCAAAGTGAAACAGGAAGTGACATCAAAAGGGAACTCTTTAACAAAGAAAGCTCCCTGATCTTTGTTTATTGAAACAATGTTATTTGAACTCTGACTCTTCTTCATCTCTCTGATAGTGACTCACAATAATCTTAAGAAACATCAGATTGTTCTCTACAGTCTGTGTTGTTGGCTGTTGTAACAACGCTCTGTTCACAGGCAGACATTCCCCTTTGACATCACTTCCTGTTACTTTACAGGCAAAAATCTCAACAACTGTTCATCTCAGCTGCATGAAATTTCTTTCGCAATATTTTGTCAATGATATCTTTTCAAAAACGCTTTCATGTGTATTACAAAGATTTGACGTCACAGGCACTTTAAAGTGGCAAAAGGCTAGCAAAATGCTACAAAAGTAGCAGAATGTTAATTAAAAGCTAAAGAAAACAAAAATAGAGCCAGTGTGCTGACGTTAGCTACATGTCAATAAGGTTTGGAAGAAAAATCAAATGATAAAAAGAAATCGGTCACAATTTTATAAGTGCTGAATCAGAATTAACACAACAAACTATGCATTTAGCCACAATCTGAAGGGTTACCTTTAGCAGAAAAGGCCGAAGCAGGTGGCAGCTCCTTCCTGTGTTTGGGTTGTCTTCTGTTGTGGAGGAGCTCGGCGTACTGCTTCACCCTCTGGTCCACTGCRTCTCGAACCAAAGCTGTAACTTCCTAAAAGCACATTGTGGTTGAACACAGGACACAAGCTTTGATTTGTTGTTTTGTGAAAACACACACACACTTGTTTACAAGCAGGGCTCGTTTGTGTGTAATTACCTTGGTTTGGTTAGCAGTGAACCAATCGGTGGACGCTTTAGGGCCTTGGGGCAAAACATGAAGGTCCACCAGCAYAGCAAAGTTCCCACACTGTTGCACAAAGAGGAAGAACAGCCACGAGTTGCTGAGGATCACTGAGCACGTAGGCAACAAAGAAAGTCGGAGTGTGAGTGATTGACAGCGAGGCAAATCACTAAACGGCCTCCTGTGTCCTTAAACACCCCCCAGGCCTCTCACAGTTCCCTCCCGTCAAGTCATCTCATCKCTAAAAGATAAGACTCTGTTTCCTCTGTTCTGTAAGTTTTGCGGTACAGTAATTATCCTGAAAGCAACAACTTTCATGGTTTTCTAGAAGAAAACAAACGGCTGCAGAGTCACGACAAACTCTGAGAGGTCCGAGCAGCTGGAACTGACCTCCGCTGGTTAAACTGTTACATATTTYTCATGGCTGCTCTGACTCAGGTTTTACACATCAGAGCAGAAGCTGCCCGCTTCCAGAGCGACAAATGGATGTGGGTCTCGTGTGAACTTCGCCTCTCCCTGGACGTGGAAGTAATGGATGGACCGAGACCACCCACAACACGGCACAGAGGAGCAAACAGMACTGCCCCAAAACCCCGGAGCTGTAATGTGAAAAGAAAAAAAGAAGAAAAAAAAGCACCGAAGTGAAAAGAGTAAAAACACAGAAAGAAAGAAAAAAAATATTTTAGGACATAGGTTTTAGTTTCACGTTGGAGCAGCAAAGAAGGATGATTTATTCAAGATAAATCTTTTGTTCTGAGTCAGGCTGGAGCTGAACCATAACAGACAAGAAAAACAAACTTTACAGCAGATTTGTTCCTCTGATACCAGGGTGAGACCCCCAGCTAGGCCCTAAATCTGGACCTGAATGCTGAGTCAGCATTTACATTGTTTTCCTGTTAATAAACTTGAGGAAATTTGTGTTTGGTGGTTTTATCTTCTGTGCTACTTTTACCTTATAGCTAATGTTCTGTCACAGTTATCTTTAAGCTATCATTCACCTTCTATTAGGTTTTAGCTACAACTGTGCTGCTGTTAGCACATAGCTACTGTTCCGCTACTGTTCTGCTTAAGTTAGCTTTAAGCTATCATTCTCCTCCTTTTAGGTTTTAGCTACAACTGTGCTACTGTTAGCATATAGCCACTGTTCTGTCACAGTTATCTTTAAGCTATTATTCACCTTCTATTAGGTGTTAGCTACAACTGTGCTACTGTTAGCACATAGCTACTGTTCTGCTACAATTAGCTTTAAGCTATCATTCACCTTCTATTAGGTTTTAGCTACAACTGTGCTACTTTTAGCAAATAGCTACTGTTGTGCTACAGTTAGCACATAGCTGCTGCTCTGATACAGTTAACTTATAGCTACTGTTCTGCCACTGTTAGCTTTAAACTACCAGTATCTTCCTTTTAGGTTTTAGCTACAACTGTGCTACCTTTAGCTTATAGCACTGTTTTGCCACTGTTAGCTTTAAGCTATCACTCACCTCCTTTTAGGTTTACGTTAACTGTGCTAACTTTTAGCTTTAGATTTTGTTAAGCTACATTTTGCTAAAGTTTTGTCAAAATTAGCATGTTTTAACTTTAGCTGCTGTTCTCCTGCTTTAAACTTTTGCACAAATCATTTCAGCTTGTGTCCTGCTCCCTTTACTCCTTTTTTTATTTTAGCTTCTGTTCTGCTTGTTTAAGCTGTAACAGCTCAGTTTTATCTGTCGTAAACTCAGCTTTTACACTGAATTTCCACAGAAAACATATTTTTCCCTCCTAACTTACTTCAACTAAAAAATACATCTTTTCTTCTTGATTAAAAAAAACAACAGAATCAAGATGATTCACTACGTACCAAAAAATGCTGCACAGAGTTCTGAGCRAATCAAGCTGCCAAATACTTTACATAAATTTTTTCCCATGAGAGCGTTTCTCTTTCTGACTGCCTTGCTGTTTAAAAAAAAAATAAAAGAAATGAAGAGCTGTTTTTTTTTTGTTTTTTTTGTCTTTCTTATAACCAGAGGCGAGGGCGCCCCCATTTGATTAACGAGAGCAACATTCAGGTAGGTTTATAAAAAGCTGCATGTGGATCCTCACTAAAAACACTACGMATGACAAAAAGGTGGTTTAAAAAAAATCTGAGTTCCGCAGATCCTCGATTATATAAACGTGAGACCTGTCAGTGCTGTCTCATCCCTGTGGATCAGCATTCTCTTCCTTTGGTGACCTTTGTCTGGTAGCGGCCCACCGGTGACTGGTGGCCTCCTGCAACTATCCATGTGTGGGAAAGCCTGGCAACAAAGGGTCAGACCCTGTCAATCAAAACGCGGAGCCCTACGAGTGGACYTGACATGTGCTGAAAGGGGTTTTCATACAAAGACTTTAAGTCCCTGATGCTGGAGACCTGACGGATGGCTTTACATACGATTAGAAAGACTCGACCGCTCTGTAGAATCATAAAAACTCATCGGAGCCATCTTTAATGGCGGCCAAAAAAAAAAAAGGCGAACGAGGTTTTGAGTCAGACATCAAACGACCCCGAGTTTCTTTTATCACATTAGAGCGGCAGATGAGACGCCACTGGACGCTAACGATAAATAGCGGTCTGACCCRTCCACAAAAACAGCATGTGATCCCACGGGGGCCTCTCAGAAATGAGGGGAAGTTTGTCAGGAATGCAAACTAATGCAATCACCCTTAATGAGAAACCAATTAATTTGTCTGGCAAAAGTGCAAGTTGGGTGAGGAAGATTTTTTTTTTTTTCTGAAAAGAAAGGTCATTTTCTGCATCAGAACTTTGCTGTTTGGATGCAGCAGCTGGATTATTTTTTCTATACAGGAAAAATAACTTTAAACACAGCTGGTAACAAAAAAAAACAACTAATTTAATTAGACTGTAATCTGATCATGTGGTCCAAATTTGTCAACTTCCACCGATGAGCTCCTGGCTGAACTATGCCTCGACCTTTGACCCCTGCATTTTTCCTTTATGACCCAGCTATAGCCGCACTTTTAAGTTCGATTTTACGCTGAAAAGGGAATAAAACAAACAGGAATGTTAAAAAAAATAAACACTTTTGCAACGTTGCATCGCTGGTAAAGCTCGGAGCGAGTGGCGCTTTTGTTGTGAAATGTTTCTTAAAGAGCAGAGGAAGTAGTTCTTTTCATGACAACTAAAGTGGACCGGTGCTGCTTTTGTTGTCTGCCTTGCACGGGATTTCCAAACTCTGAGGCTGAGGTTGAAATCCTTCATTGTGTCTTTTGTGTTTGGACTCACGGGGGATGAATGGG